TACTGGTTGAGAGAACTATATAGATATAGCAAGTTGTAAAGAATATATATATATAGTGTCAGCAGAAATGTTTGGGTGTGGGAAATTTAAAGAGAGTTGGATGCTTACTTCGCTTTCTTCCTTAGCGTTTTGTTTCGAACACGGGGAAGATTACAAAATAAATGGTCAGATCTCTACCATCTTTATAACAGATCTTTTGTTGATAAAATATTGAGATGTACCAAGTCTGAATGCAATCGGATGTAAAGTTAGCGTGTTATGACCTCCAAGGATATATAAAATATTAAGGCTTTTTGAAATTTTTAAAATTTAAGGCTTTCTTCACAACAGATCTTGTGTTAGTAGAAATAATGGTATGTGTGAAATATAAAGAGAACCTAATGTTTATTTCGGATTTTATAAACGTTTTGGTTATTCAAAAACTCCCTTTGTGGGGGAGGTACCAGAAGGATTCTCTACCGTCTTTATAACAGGTCCTGTGTTATTAGAAATATTGAGATGTGCCAAGTCCGAATGGAATCGGATATATGCATTTTATGAGCTTAATAGGTAGCAGAAGAAGTGGACCGATATTGCCTATCTCCGAACTCGATCTTAGTTTGACAAAAATTGTATGGTGTACCAAGTTTGGTCCGAATCGGATACTCTCTTCGAGAGTTATCATGCCCACCAGCAAGACAGATATACGGACGGATATCGCTAGATCGAATCCAAATGTCCTGAAACGGATTTGGTCCAAAGAGACCTAGGGCCTAAAATCGTTATTTAGACTAGTCACGTTTTGACGTATCAAATGATATATACCCTCTGCAGACATATGTCTGAGGGTATAACAAGTTAAAAAGTATCTGTCGGTTTTTTCGACAGATGTATACCCTCAGCCACTTTTCGTATTTTGACCTGCGATGTGATTATTCATATCCATTATTTATGTTGACCCTTTATGGGGGAGATTGCAAAGGAGTGGGCCAATGTTGTCCATTTCGTATCTAACCTAAGTCTGATATGAATGTGGCAGGTTTGGGCCATACCAAACTTTTACTTTTGACTTACATAAAACTTTACATGGGAATCGTAATCATTTTTGGGAAATTAAGAAATGTGCGTGTAGCAAATATAATATAGTAATAGGAGGATTGTGCCGATGAATTCTATATTCATGTCAGATCTCAGGTTACCAAGTTTCAACAGAATCGCTGACTTGTTTCGCAAATTATTTAATTAGTTAATAGAAATATTGGGATGTGTGGAATTTGAAGTAAATCTGATATGTGTTGATGGAAACATTGGGATGTGTGAAATTTGAATAGTGTCGAGAGCTTATTTCGCAAATTGTAAGAGAAATACTTATTCTAAATGTTGGTCCTTTGTGGGTGAGTAACATGATGGAGTGGGTCGGCATGGCACTACTACAAATATTGGGATTTGCAAAATTTGGACAGAATTGGACGATCCGTTCTTGTTGTATACGGCAAATTATTTTCCGATCTAAGTTTGACAATAATATTGCGATGTACCAAGTTTGAATCAAATCGGATGGTCCCTTCGAAATTTATCGTGCGCACCAGTCGGCCGGGCAGACAGACGGACGAACACCTCTAGATCGACTCCAAATGTCTCTAAAGGGATTCAGTCTAAAGGAACCTAGAGTATAAAAATTATTTCGAAGATCACGTTTTGTTCGTATCAAATGACATATACTCTCTGTAGCCATATGGCTGAGGGTATAACTAGGGATCAGTAGCGAGCTTTTTGTGAGAATATGAAGAAGATAAGCAAAAAACAGGTAGACAACCCTACTTTAGCATTTGTTTTATTTTACACTCTACGTTCATTGAGAGATCGATGCATATTCTCAAATAAGTCGTCGATCTCCGTTCTGAACCCCGATTATATTCAACATATGGGAACACACATTTGAACTAGGACTCCGTCTGTTTATTTTCATTTTTCAATTAATATCGAATCGAATATTTTTTTCGAGATGATCTAGGACTTTCAACATGCTATTAATTCCGAATGACTTCCGTCATTCCGAAATGACATAATTGATGGACCATTAATCCAACAGTGGAGGATATAAAACTTGGTAATATAGTCAATAATTTAGCTGCTATTTAAAATGTTACTCGTATCTTCTGTCGATTTGGTAATGACACTATTTTAGTCATAATTGATAGAAATTTCCTATTTTGAGAATGCCTCCACTAGAGTAGATGGGAATTATGTCTTGATTTTTATCGAGGAAATAAATGTACCAAGATCTTTGGATACAAAGGAGTGGTATCCTTTATATCCAACGATGAAGCAAAGGGAGACCTCTAAACTCTGAACTTTCTCCGCGAGAGCTTAAATTTGAGACGTGGTTCAATATTCCATCCAAAGCAATTTTCCGATTCACGACCTCAATTGGGAAAAATTTTACATGAAATCATTTTAGAAAATAAGGTTATTCGAGGCGAATTGCAATAGAATATTTAGTAATTATTTTTTATAATTCAGCATTTTCCACACCCCTTACTCCAATTAGTCTAAGAAAAATTAGCTGATATGAGGACTTTTTAAACAAATCCCGAATTGACAAAATGTGTCTCTTGTCCGACGCCTATGATGTTAAGTACTTGGATTTTATTGTTTTAAATTACTTGTGGAAAAGTCTAATACGAATACAATTCAATTGATGGAAAAACACGCTTTTAATCTCAGCTTTTCGGAGTGGTATGTTTTTATAGATTTTTCGTTAAATAAACCAAGTAAATACACCAAACCATTTTATTTTACCAAAAATTCTACTTAAGGAAAGTGTCATTAGCCCTGCATAAGGTCGGCCAAGAACACTACTTTTGACAACAATTCGCTTAGTAGTGTTTTCACTATTGTGATTTGACTCTCTTTGAATTTAAAATCGCAATATGTCTTTTGACAGAAAACTTATTTATCTTTAACTCAAAAAACGAGTTATACAGCCTGTTTTTTTTTAAGAAAAGTTATTTTCACTCGAATCGTTCGTATTCAAACGTTAACCATTATTTTGTTAATTTTTTTTTTATTTAATTTCATTTGGAGTTGTGCTGAGTGTGGCAACCCCAAATAAATTCAAATTTTATAAAAAATTGCGAAATGAAACTGAAAAATGTAGAGAAAACATTTAAAGAATGTGGTCCTGCTAGATCCGCTACAAAAAGATGACATGTACCGGGTTGCCCATATTCGACGGACCCATGTTTATTTTTTTTTTTTTTTTTTTGGGTCCATTCTAATCGACGAGGCTTGTCCGCAGGCAATATTCTTTGCATCAATTGAATTTTGTACGGGAACAAATGCAAATCAATGCGAATAATCCGTTGTAAAGTGGACCGAGCCATGCCCAGCTGCTGAGAACGGCGTTTTTGGGATGCTCTTCTTAGAAGGCGCACTTCTCACATTTTTTAATGTTTTAAAAGCACGTTGAGTTTTCACAATTGACTTCTTCTGTTGAATGTACATTTCAACTATTTCAGAGCGCGTGTATTGGTTCATGGTAAAAATCTGCTTGGACTGACGCTTCAAACGCGGTATGTCATTAAGCGATGTGACATCTCTGTCAAAAGTTATGGCGTTGCCAGACGGGTCCGTCGAATATGGGCAACCCTGTATAAATAGTTCATATAAAAGTTTCCCGTCATAACACAATTTTGGCGAGATTCTGTAACAAATAGCCAATTTCTGTTCAAAACGATGGGTTTTTCCTATCTTTCTTTCTGACATTTTCGTTTGTATTTTTTCGTTACAAAAAATACAAGGGAACCCACCCACAGAGAAAAACACACTACAAAAAACCCAAATTTTATATTTTTAAAATATAAATAAAATATATTTATTCTAAAGCCTAACAAGTGGAGAAAGATGTAAATGTTTATGAGTGCGGTTGTAAGATTTAGAAGATTTTCCAAAAGAATTTTAGTTTTATTTAATTCTTTGGTTCCACTTCTATTGAACTTACGATCTCGTCTCTTGGGTAAAAAATGTTTTTTGTCACAGAAGTTATTTTTAAAATAACTTCTGGGGAGAATATGCCAGACAAAAAAGCAAGGGTACTGATGAGGATTGGTGGCTCTTTCCGAAACCTAGGTAGGTATTCCCTACCTTACCCCTGGTAAACATTACCATCGTTCTCCACTAACAAACGTTGTTTTTATAAAAACACCAATAAAGGGTTTAAGCCTGACCATTTTGCAATAACAAAATACTATGGTATCCCGAACAAACAAGCCAACACTGTTCTATTTTCTAAATCGCTACGTTTTTCAGCGGATACAATGTCTAGAGGGAAAATCTTGTTCTGTACAATATACAATTGGTATGCAATTGGTACACACCAGTAAAGTAAACGATGTTCCCACTCTTGCCTTCCAACTCTTGATGTTGGACAAAAGACGAGTACGTAGCCAATGACAGTGCTAAGAAAATAGTGCTTTTTGGCGATCTGACATTGTCCCAAATATCCACATCATGATTCTGTCTCTTTCGATTGTCATTATGACACGTTGATTTCTTTACTGCTGTAACGGATGTTAGCTTTTTGGGATAGATGGGTTACGGCAGCAATAGCATTTCTGCTTTTTATAAAATACTCTTCATTTTACCGTCCCAATTGATGTTTTTTGAGAGCCTTGTTTTTCTATTACAAGACACTTTTTTGGTACTATTTTTGGCGCCACGGTTTTGTGAAAATTGACATAAAAAGAAGATTTAAAATAATAATTCAGTAAAAATTTCAAAATATGATTTGCCCTAGAGTCAAGAACATGAACTGAGAAAAAAAGGGAAACTGCATTTGGCCTACGAAATACATTGAAAAGTACACATGTATCTCACAAAAAAAGTGTACCGAATCGCAGTACCGGTTTCCCATTGAAATAATCGAAACAGTTATGGTCGGTCGTTGATAAATATTGTCGTTTTTGTTATTTTCTTTTGTAGCAACAATTATAATCTATCTCCTCATTTCTCATGTCTAGGCCTTGTTACATACTCATGACGTTGTGGCCCGAGATGTTTACGGCGAGGAGGCTTTGCGTGTGACACCTCCCCCCATGCCACTCTACTGTAATGGCGAGGATATCGATAACACCGACGCTGGGGAGTTGCAACATGTGACACGAGTACGATTGGTACAGTTCCAAAAAAATACTGATGAGCCCATGGTAAGTGCAATAAAGTATTGAAGAATTTTAAACTGTGTATTTCCGGGCAACAATAATTGAGGCACAGACCTCCGAAAAACTCGCTCGAATTTGTAGCACCTCGAAATATACATTTTAGACCCCTCAAACTATATATATTCTTGATCAGCATAAAATTCATTGTCGATTTAGCGATGTCCCTGCGTCTGTCCGTCTGTGGAAATCACTCTACCAATTGAAGTAGATTGATAAAATTTTACTGAAATGTATGTTATGTCTCCAGGACTTTTGGAATTGAAAATGGGCCATGTAGGTCCACGTTTTGGTATAGCCTCATATAACGGTACCTCCGGATATTCGGTTCTTTGTTGATTTTAGCGATATTATTCAACGGAATTGTTTCAAATGTGGTATTTGAAGTTTGAAATGAATACTACAGCCTATGACAGGAGATTGTCTGTGCAGGTCCACGTCTTGACCACAATTTTAAACCTAATTATGTTCATCTTGACATTTCGAGTTGTGAGTAGATACAATTTCTCCATTCGAAAATGTGTTTATCGTAGCCCCAGTGGAGGTAGTTCCCAAAATACAGCGATAAATTCAAAGGAAGCATTTCGTTGCTTTTATTTTTCTTTCTCAAAGTTCATATTCAAATCAGTAGAAAAGGATAAAATCTAAGTTAAACCACCAACAAATTATTTATTCTTTGAAAAACATTCTTCTTAAATCGAAGACGAAAGAACTACAATTTTTTTTGAAAGGAACATTTCTTAAATATATAAAAATTGGCAGGTATTTTAGCATGCATCACCGAAATAGAACAAACCCATATTAATATATTTTTATGTTAGAGGATTTGTTACTAATGTGCCGAAAAACATTATCATTCCCCCCCTTAAAATGCTCTCAATTAAATCAATTAAATTTGATCATGAGTCATCACACTGATTTAGGAAGAGGCTGTATTTTTGTATAGTATAGATTTGTTATTTATAAAACGATAAACCCTAAAGACAATAAAAAGAGAAAATTGGATCAAAGTATATTCGTGAAATCTGAATGATTTTTAATAAATGGTGAAGACAGATTTTTTTAAATAAAACAAAAGGTCAAAAAATGGCATGAGTTTTTTGTTGATTATGAAGGACAACAATCCATACTAAAATAATTAATTAAAAAATATTGAAAAAATACAGCACCATTTTCAGAACTTGTTGGTTCTAAAATGTTAATAACCATTCCATTCCATTTTAAAATGATCACTAGATTTTTGTGTATAAAACTGTTTTTATACTATAATAGCATAAAAACGGTTTACCCAAAAGACGAACTTCATTTTGGTTTTTTCAATTAATCTCCTTTTTTATTTCAACCTTTCATTTCTCTATTGCAGGGTATCACGTTGAAAATGACAGAAGACGGCCGCTGTCTGGTGGCGCGTATCATGCACGGCGGCATGATACATCGACAAGCAACCCTGCACGTCGGCGATGAGATCCGTGAAATCAATGGGCAGTCAGTGCAGAACCAATCCGTGGGGCAATTGCAACGAATGTTGGTGAGTAGTGAGCCATCTTTGAGTTACCCTCTGTCCACACCTCGGCATTCTAGTGCCCGTCCAACTACTTAATAACGCAAATTATTTTTCTTTTTGTTTTTTTTTTCTTTTCTTGTATTTTCAGCGTGAGGCACGTGGTTCTGTTACCTTTAAAATAGTTCCTTCTTATAGAAGTGCTCCTCCACCATGCGAGGTAATTATAAATGGAATTGCGACGACAACAACAGTACAGACAGGAGATTTGTATTTATTCTTTGTTGTGTTGTTGTTGTTGTTCTTCTTCTTCATTTTGTTCTTTCCTTTGTTTTCCCCCTCTTTTGAATGTTGTTATGCCTCTTTTGTGAATTTATGATTTGGTCGTTTAGTTTTTTTACTCCAACCATTTTCCGTGGAGCTGTTGCGCTGTTTTGCGTTAATGCCAAGGTCCCATTGTACGGCCATGCATGAGATGTCCGCGTGTCAACTCGCTTATATGTTCATACCGCTCTCGAATGTTTTACTCGTCCTATGAACGTGCCATTATGAAATTTTTACGCAGCTACCGATCATGTAGCAATTCAATATTTTCAAATCCTAGTTTTGAAGTAGCAAGAATCTATTCGTCGCCGTTGCTCCATCCCGGAATGGGATGGAATAAATGGGAAGTCCATTTTTCGCTTCGCTCAAATAAAGATTGACACATATTTGCGGTCTGATAGTATCGAACGCCCTCGTTACACAGTAGTAGTGTCGAGGATCTTATCTACTATACCACACCTGCCGTGAAGCATAGCTTCTAAGAGAAATCCCATTTATTTTTGGAAGAGTTAACTGTAAAAATTATTACCCCTTACACCCGCAATGCTAGGGTCGCGATAAAATTGGGCACGAATTAGTGTCTTAAAAGAGTGTTTTTGCATTTTGTGTGTTCTTATATTTTTTCTTTCTTTTTTTTTTTTTTGTTTTTTTAGTTTTCGTTCTGAAGTATTTAAGTTTTGTAGCCTTGCTCTTATATATCTCTTGTGTTGATTGCTATTCGCCTGAAGGCGTTTCACATGTGTATATGTTATTCGTGTAATTAGCTCATATCTTACTCGTTTGTTTCTCATTAACATACAATTTCATTTTTCTCGCTGCGATTACAACAACTGACACTTCAACAACAAATAAATAACTAAAACGTTTATGCGAAAATTAATGCCATTTCCACATAAACGAACGACATAAAAACAATAATAATAAACTCATGAACCCAACTTCAATCTCGTCAACCATCGACGTCCTGCAGCTTTTCAGGATAAGACCAGCTCCGGTTCTAGTAAGTAGCCTCTTTATCATCTTTCTCTCTCTCTCACATTTTTATCTGGGATTAATAGAAATTTCTTTGGTTTGTTGGTTTTGTTTTGATGTGAACGAAAATCAGTTTATTTCTGAATTGAAGTGGTGCTTTAATCTGTCGAATTTAATGTATTCAGTTTGTGTTTTTAATTTTTTTCATTTTCGGTTTCAGAATAAATGTGGTTAATGGTAAAAGCGTTTTAACATGGTCTTGTGCCGACAACATTACAATAAAAAGTTTTGCGCATTTGTTTAAAATTCTTCATTTCACACACATTAAGGAACAACTGACCAGCTTTCTACCAGTTTTTAAACATCCTACAACATGTCGTTTTGAGTTGAGTTTCTATGTTACATATGAACTAGTTAGGGATCTAGTTAGGGACCTTAATTTAGGTTATTCAAATACGCGGCAAACATCTTAAAGAATTCGAAATCGAAATGTCGTAATCGGTTAGAGAACGCAATTAAAGCTCAAAATGCTAAAATGTGGCCAGTGACGTTACCTGGGGATCTCTAAGTAAATACAATCGTCCATCTAATACGAAATAAAGTCATGGACGACGACGAATGGCTCACACATTAAAAAACGCACTCCCATCTCCTACCTCACCCCATTTTAACCTTGAAAATGAAATTTGAAAATTTTGACGTGTTGGAAACAATATTAAATAAAAACAATACGGACAACTAGTTCAACGTGAATTCTATGTAACAGAAGATGCTGAAAGGCAGAAAAATATATTAATTTATGATACCAAAATATATTGAAATGTTAAAACTGCGTAAACGGAGTAGAAATTTAAATTCGACTTTTTTAACTCAATTTTGCCCAAACAGTTAAAGATTGACTTCATGGATTTTACTTTAGATTTTTTGATGTGTAGAACGACCAAACAGATGAAATACTGTTTGGCTGCTTGGTGGGCATTACCTAATGAAGAGAAAGCCAAAACGAAATACCTACTAATCGTTGTAACTTATTTGAAAATGAAAAGTCGACAACATATCTATGACTCAGATCGTTAGTCGTTTTCAAAAGTTACAATTGAAATCGATTTATATATAATATAGTCCTCTAGGAGGTAATGGTTCAGACATTTCACAAGAAATCACAAATATTAAATTGGCATATATCTATAACTGTATGTATGTATATATATATTTGCGCATTACTATTTGTGACTCTACTTTATTAGGTTCGAAATGTCGATAAAAGCCGACCAATTTAACACTTTGCCGTCCATATCATTATAGATTTTCGTAAGAGCACAATTCGACTATAACCCATTGGATGATGAGCTGATACCGTGTGCACAAGCAGGAATAGCCTTTCAAGTGGGCGATATTTTGCAAGTAAGTGATACTTATATTCTGTTTCATTTGTGAGTGTTTTTGAAATGTTCAGCCTTTAGTCTTTCGCATTCATTTTCTTTTCTAATTTATCACTTGGAATTGATTTAATGCTTGGTATTTCCTCCCTATACATTTGCATTGCAGATCATTAGCAAGGACGATCAGCATTGGTGGCAGGCTCGAATCGATGCTGTCGGAGGCTCGGCTGGCCTTATACCTTCACCAGAATTACAAGAATGGCGTATACGTTGTCAAACTGTAGATAAGACTAAAAATGAACAAGGTCAGTAAATATCTACACACATACATGCCCAAGCTATACGCATAGTACACTTGGCTCCGAACACAATTTATGTGCCATCGATAGATGGTGCAGCAAACGCCCGCCCCTTGATGGTGGGCAAATGTTTTTCTAAATTAAGTTACAAGACGCTCATAATTGATGTGTATTTCTTTGTGATATGTTTTCATCTAACTTATGTTTGCAACAAACCGAACCACATCTACACAAACGAGCATCCTCATATGTACATCGATCTGTTTTCATATTTACTATTCAATAATTGTATCCTTATCATTTTCAAAGTCATCGCCAACGTTACATTGCACCAGAGTGTCTGTCAGATAACTGTCCTGCAGGAATTGTCCGCAAACTCTTTCTCAGAGAGTGGTTTAGTTTAAATTTCTTTTGTAAGAAAGTTTCAAAAGTATCCGAAGCGGTTGTCAAAACAGTTTGCAACTTTCATCTCCACACCACAAAACAATAAGACTTGTGATCTCAAAAACCCCAAAATGTTCGGAAAGCAAGCTAGAATAAATTTGGTGGACCACAGGAACGAGAATATAGACCCACTTCCTCGGGCATCATTCGGCTAAACAAGGAATAACCTGTCTTCCATTAAGCGAAATGAATGTCCAAATATTGCACATTGTTATGTTTTGCCGCTTTCCCCATTTGTTAAATAATCCTAAGTCAACTGAAAAATGATTCATCCGATTCTTTTGTCTAATTACACCCCAGTATTAATATCAAATATTCAGTCGTTACCAGAAACGCCCGAAGGCATAACCAACAAAAAATCCAAACATAACCCACATTATTTGAAAGTCAACCAAGTTCAGTCAAAATTCAGTAATGCTCAAATGTCCAGTTCTTGACGATAGAAGACTCTTGTGATCCTAATGAGGAGTTCACTGCAATAGCTGACCCAATAATAATTTATGGGTTATGTTGTCAAAAATATTGGTGGAGTATACCAATTAAAGGTGAAATCAAAATAAAACGCGTGTATGGAAAATAGCATAATAAAGGGACAGACCCATTTATCCGGAAGGTATTGCAAGCCAAATGTAATATAGATTTAAATATAACAATAAATGTTTCATTTAATGTAGGATGTTTGGAATATTGTCTAATACAGCTAACGATAAAAATAGTTAGAGTGATCGCTTAAATATGCAGTTCACCGTTTGTTTTAAGGAAATAATATTCCATGCATTTGTTGTTTGCCATTTTTCATTATTGGTCAGAGTCTAGCAGGTAGAGTCCATCTAAGCTTTGTATGATTTTAAAAAGATCGTCATGTAACGAAATAAAAAAAGGACGTGTTTTCATCATTAGAAGCAAATCAATGTTTGCCCCAAAAGAAAGTGTGCGTTGGCGATGTCTGCAGTTTACCATAAATCGCTGGACGTACACATTATTTATTTTGCCATACATTCAAAATTATTAGACATTCATATCTCTCTCTATGTGTGTGTGTGTGTGTGTTGTGTCTTGTTACAATCTTCATCAACCTAGCATGGACATTCTTTAATTTTTATTTTTCACATTATCATTTTGTTGTTGCTAAATTTGAAACTTTTACGTTGTGTCGGAAAATTATATCCCGAAGGATTACAAGGCCTTTTGTTTTGACAAGAAATGCTCTGCATTGGTTTAAACAGTCATTAAAATACATAGAAAAAGGCGAAAGTCCATTTATCATCATCGGCTAGCAAACTGTTATACACCTATGTTAGTAGATACACATTCTTACACCAATCAAAGAATACTGTCATGTTGTAATACATTTTATTCAATTGATCTATATATGTAATACTGTATGTGTGAACACAAATATGTACAATGCCCCTATCCACGACCATAACCACAATCACGACCTCGACCTCGACCACCACAACCACCATCGACACCCAATGTGTGTTGTATGACTGATAAACAGGAGATCCGGGAGCTGGATGTTCCGCCCACACAGCAGAAGGATGTGATGGATCCGCAGGTACATTGAAAAGCACAAGCAACATAACACATCAGTACACACAACAATCCACCTTACACATTCCAAGGACGTTGTTAAACCGTGCACTTGCCTTGTTATCGTATCACCACTTACTTCACTGCTTCTCAAAACAGCCAAAATCATGTCAATTTTAAGAGAACTCAGCAAAACCCAAGACTAGTACACTAACAAAATTTAGAGAACCCTGCTCTGATCCATAGGGATGGTTTCTACGCGACGAAAATTGAATTGACCTATTATTGCAAATGCACCTGAATTTGACAAAATATTTCTTCTCTGCAATTTGCTGAAGAGAACACAGTTTAATTCACGATATATAATATATGTAGCTAGTTTCATGTTCACTGGGCCTTTTGGAGGCTTTTGATTTTTGTAGGCTTACTATTTTGATTTTGATATGTTGTCTAGTCTTCAGTTGCGTGCTTTGATATAAAGACAGGAATGGGTGCAGTGACACTGGTTGCTTTTAAAGAAAATTCCCACTGTGCACCTAGTAAAAACCATCTCCATGGTAAATGGGTAAATCCTTCAATGCATAAATTGATCGACATCCCGGAAAACCACATTGTATAGCCATTCATCGACAGCCATAGAATATGTATATATGTATTAATTTTGTTCAATATTTGTAGGCAATACAGTAGTGAATGCATATGTATATGTTCATTGATATTTATCACTTCTTTCGTCAATTAGATTATTCAGAACGCATCTCGCCATTGTTTCAAAGTTTTCTTTTCAAACATATGTATATAATTCCATAAAATCATTTATACAAGAATCTCAAAAGTAAAACATAAAAAACCACAATGGAGTTAAATGGCAGGGGTTCTTAGCAGAATCGAGTTGCGCATATGTTCAAGTCTGAGGAGTATTTCAGACTTTGCACTCCGAATTCTTACTGAGTAGCAAAGGCCCAAGAAGAATGCACGAATTAAATGTATTCTTATCACAAATGACACTAGTAGTCAAAATTTAACTTTAAATTCGTTTAACAATTGAAGGTAAATTGGAATTCAATTTTGATTGATGCTGAATCCACATCTAAGGTCTGGAGTTGCTCGAATGTGCATGGTTTTAATTATATCACTTTTTAGGGGACCATATTTTCCAAATGAAGGCTTAAACCATGTCTTAAGCCTTAAATTAAACCAAATTATGTTACTCAAATGCAGTAGATAACAGGCCAAATGTGGGGTATATAGACAGCCACGAAAACGAACTATTGCAATCGTTTCGTTTTGTATTTTCTCGAAACACGAAAAAAAAAACAAAACCGATATTAAGATAACAGGACTTGTTTCGTATTTTGTACTGTTTGTGTAGATGAGTGAAACAGAAACAGAACTAAAATGTGCTCTGCTGGATGACGCAACATTGGGAACGAAACAGTACAAAACTCATTTCAAACGTTTGCAAACGTTTCCCTGTGTATTAACTCATTACAAATACTATAAAAACTAATTAATAGTCAATATTATTTCATTTTTGTTAATTTATTCGATCATCACACAATGTAAAAAGTACAAAAAACTCCTAATGTATCAGTTATCATTTCGCACAGCAAACGTTTCCCGGCGGTTCGTTCGCAAACGATACAGCTCGGCAACTCGTAGACGAAGTACATTAAGGCAATCGTATTGTTTGTGTACTTCTGGCATTGAAATGTTTGTGGCTTTGTTTTGTTTGTTTTGTTTGGAGTACAAAACGATTGAAAAATATTTAAAAATTTGTCTCTTCGTGACAGGGGTACGTTAATCGTTTCGTTTGTTTTCGTTCGCTGTAGGCAGCATAATCCTAGTTTCTCCATTTTCTGATAAAATTCAATTTGTGAAAAAAAAAACTCTTTTTGTATCCAAAATGTAGTTATTTTGTATATAGGAAGACCCATGGTACAATGAAGAGAAGGTAGGCCAACTTTGAAAAAATTGCAAGTATAGAGGTCTACCTGTTTGGCTTGTAATGTCAGAACTAGTATCAAAACAATAAAAAATCAAACAACTTGTTGCATTTATTTTGAATAAATAATTGAAAACCGCGATAACTGAATGAAAGGTCAATACTTCTTTTCAAAATCATGTACTATATATCTCTAAAGGATTATTTCGCTACAAAAACTCTAGATTTTGTCGATGCATACGTTGAAATAAACATTTTGAAAACACCCGAATTTGAATATTTTCTGAACAATTTTTTTTGTTACTGAAAAGAAAACACATACATAAACAAATGAAGATGAAATATTAAGCCAAGAAAATGAAAAAAAATTAATCATGTGGTATCATAGCCCTACCTTGATATCATTGTACCATAGGAAGACCCATATAGTTCATCGTAAAAAAATAGCTTTACTTTGACAATGAGACATAACATTTAAGCATGCAATCAAAAATATTTTCTTTGTTTATTATTGATTTCAAGACATTTTATCATTTTCACTAGTTTTAGAGGGTACAAATGTCCAGGAGAAATATAATCGAAAACAGGAAACTAAAATATTAGTCTCATTAGTATTATCCGACTTAATTTTGGAATGGTTAAATTTTTCTTCAAGGAATAATTTTGCTACAGCTAAGACAAGTATGAAGACCATAAGCCTATGAGTAGATAAATAAAATTCGCCTTCCTAATTATTTTCATAAAATATGGCACTCGTCATACGTAAATATTTTAGATATGAACATATATTTTATTTGATAAATGACAAGGTCGAGCATGGTACAATGAAGAGAAGGTAGGTCAACTTTGAAAAAATTGCAAGTATAGAGGTCTACCTGTTTGGCTTGTAATGTCAGAATTACTATCAAAACAATAAAAAAGCAAACAACTTGTTGCATTGATTTTGAATAAATAATTCAAAACCGCGAAAACTGAATGAATGGTCAAAATTTCTTCTCAATATCATGTTCTATATATCTCTTATGGTTTATTTCGCGACAAAAACTGTAGATTTTGTCGATGCATACGTTGCAAAAAGCATTTTGAAAACACCCGAATTTTAATATTTTCTGAACAATTTTTATACCCTACACCACAAGGTGGTCAGGGTATTATGTCTTTGTGCATTTGTTTGTAACAGGCAAAAGGAATCGAGATAGACCCATAGTTCCTTTTGATGATCTGCATAGAATCACATTCTGAGTCGATTTATGCATGTCCGTTCGTCCGTCTGTCCGTCCGTCCGTCCGTCCGTCTGTCCATGTATTTTTGTAAACAAAGTACAGTTCGCATTTATTGCCCTATCTCGATGAAATTTTGCACAAATCATTTGTTTGGCCCAAGGACGAACCCTATTGAAATTGGAGATAATCGGTCAAAATTTAGATATAGCTCCCATATATATCTTCGTCCGATTTACCTTTTATTGTGCACCAAACGTCTATTATTTCTCTAAGTGGGATGGAATTTGGCACTTACGACCGAATTAAGTCTAGAAGCTAGTATGTCAAATTTGGTGAAGATCGGTTCAGATATAGCTATAGCTTCCATATATATTATTCATCCGATTTGTTATATTTGTTACCCACAACCGTAATCTTTTCCAAATTTTATGGAGATCGGTTCAGATTTAAATATAGCTCCCATATATATCTTTATCCGATTTCAAATTAACTGTGCACCAAATGGGCAATACAATTCCGAATTTAAAAGATACAAATGCTTCGGCATATTTAGTCCTTTGAACTTTAAATTATAATTATAATCATAGCGTGTATGATTGAATTCTCCCATAAAAACTTTTAATTGTTATGTGGACCTCTACTAGTGTGTAGGGTATCATAAAATCGGCTCCGCCCGACTTTAGGACTTTCTTTACTGGTTTATTATTGAAAAGAAGACACACACATAAGCAAATGAAGTTGACATATTAAGCCAGAAAAATAAAAAAAATTAAATCATATGGTAGTTCTGCCCTACCTTGAATTCATTGTACCATGAGGTCGAGTATGTCCGAAAAGGGTTGCCACATTCGTTTTACAAAATGAGTTTACCCATGGTACAATGAAGAGAAGGTAGGCCAACTTTGAAAAAATTGCAAGTATAGAGGTCTACCTGTTTGGCTTGTAATGTCAGAATTAGTATCAAAACAATACAAAATCAAACCACTTGTTGCATTTATTTTGAATAAATAATTGAAAACCGCGATAACTGAATGAAAGGTCAACACTTCTTTTCAAAATCATGTACTATATATCTCTAAAGGATTATTTCGCTACAAAAACTCTAGATTTTGTCGATGCATACGTTGAAATAAACATTTTGAAAACACCCGAATTTGAATATTTTCTGAACAATTTTTTTTGTTACTGAAAAGAAAACACATACATAAACAAATGAAGATGAAATATTAAGCCAAGAAAATAAAAAAATTAAAATCATATTGTATCACAGCCTTACCTTGATATCATTGTACCATGAGTTTACCTCTATTGTTTGGCCATGCCAAGAATGATATGACCTCATATAATGCTACCACCTGATATTCGTCATTTTGCGTATTTCTGACACAATGTCCATCCGTATTATCATAAAATGTCAGTATTGTGATATCTTGCTGCACTGATATATTGCTGCAATTAGTATTTTAGGTTCTTATTTGATGGAACATTTGCCATGCGAAAATATTAGGTCCACGTTTATACATAAGACTCACATAGCTTTAGGATCGAAATCACTAATTTGTGTCGTATTGTGCACTAATTTGCTTTTCTACACTAAGCAAGGGGCAAAAGTCGGGCATTTATATTGGAAATTTATTTGAAGTAAATCATACCAACTATGATCGTCACTGATTGCCTGTTAGCATATACAGCACTCATGGTAAAACAAATAAGGTCAAGTCATTTCAAATAAGCATTCCCATCTTTTCATTGTCTGTAACTTACCTTGTCAACTTTCACTGCATAGAAAGCATTTTGACAATGAGATGCCGTTAAATGCATAATTTTGAAAGAAATTGAAAACAAGATTGCATTGCTTTACTTTCCTCATTTTACTATGACAGTACTTTAAATTTTACATTTTATAAAGTAGATTACAATCGCCAATAGTTCGTAAAAAATGTAAGAACCATCGATTATCGATACTCCTGTCATATCAATTCTTTTGGTCCAGACTGATACTTTGAAAATATCCACCATAATTATATCTTAAAGAATAAATACGACAATGAAAGTCGATGTCAGTAACAATCGGAAAGGATAATATGATGGAGGATCTACAAATTTATCTAAATCTCTTTAACATTGTTATTTATACAAGGTGGCACAAAGATAATTCTCCTATCAGAAAATGCTATTAATTTTGCGATTGGCCCCTAATGTCCTAATTAAAGCAAAAAAAATCGGAAGTTTACTTTTGCGCCACCTTATATATGCATATGTACTTGACAGACATTCCGATGTTTATTTTGGCTGTAACTAAGCCATTAGGGGCCAATCGTAAAATTTATAGCATTTTCTGATAGGTTTGAATCGGTATATCCGTTTCGGAAAATCACAACATCGTCGGATGCATACATCTCATCTGATACTTAAATTACAAAAATTTGAATTTCAAAATTAAAATCACAAGCCCCACCACTAAAAACATTTTTTATTCCGATTGCATGACACATAATAGTTTTGATAGTTTCTCAAAGGCATATATTTTCTTCTCTCCTTACTATGACTGAATTTTATTTTTCACAAAACGCATTTTTTTAATCAAAACCCAGCGGATGGAATGTATGGTATGGCGTATACTTTTTTACAGATGCACTCCAGCGAATTTGTCAATAATATAGGAAATTATCTCGAAATTTTGCATGTTTTCATCGCGGATATTCGACAATATTGATAAAAACAAATGGGCCAAAAACAGTAGGGTTAAACATGAAATCAAGCTGTGTCTTTTAATTCTTTATCCTTTCTCGTCGAAATAAATTTACTATTTTTTTTATGATGACCTTAAGACTGTACAAGAAATATGTTTCAAAAAAAATGAAATATGTTTCAAAAAAAAAACTTAAACCACATATTTCCAGCAAAAACTCAAAAAATGTACGTCTTTCATTTTTTAATAACATTTCCACTTGTTCATTGTGTCCGCTGCTGTCATTGAACTCGTAATCTTTTGATCTGTAGCGAACATAATGGATTGTTTTAAGTCCATCGACGCCGAGTCTCGAAATCACAAGGGTTAGTTTTTTTCTAGTCGGACTTGCACTCTCTGTCACCACGTTGCTCAGCTCCTCTAAATAGGCTATTCGGCCCATAGCGCTTTCAAGTTTTTGCTGAGTTTGAATCGAGCAAGTCCGGTGTGTTTGTATTGTTTGATTCGTTATGTCCGTCCATAGCGCTACCATTGATGAGCACTTCAGGAAACAGTTAATTTTACTCTGATGATGGGTGGTGAAAGGTGCCATGGCATGGTCGGCCCCGTTCGCTTCTAGCTTTTATTACTTTGTTAATACTTATTATGTATGTAATTTGAATGTGTGTCAATACTCTATTTTTACTGCATGTTTTTACTTTTTAACTGGATCTACTTAACTCGAAACCTAAATCAATACATACGTATGCATATGCATTAGCATGTGTATGTATGACATGGAGGCATGTTTCCTAATTACGCATGGGATACAACAATAGGTTAACACACTATCACAACGTTACATTTAAGGACCATTGCTATTTATATTTTTTGCTTTCTGATTCAAATCCCAAATATTACAACTCTATTTCCCCCCTTCACCAACAGTGAACTGCTCCATATTCGGGCGTAAAAAGAAGCAGTGCCGAGATAAATATTTGGCGAAACACAGTGGCATATTCGATAATTTGGAACTTGTAACGTACGAGGAGGTTGTAAAAGTGCCGGGTAAGTAAAGCGGACAAAAAGCGTTCACCCATTTCCACATATCCATCGATATAAGTTCCAATCGTAACGATGCATCTTAACATTAAATTTCATTTCAGTTGGCGATCCGAACTTTCAACGCAAGACATTAGTTTTACTGGGTGCTCATGGTGTGGGTCGCCGTCATATCAAAAATACTTTAATATCCAAATATCCCGATAAATATGCTTATCCAATACCACGTAAGTGAACCGAATTGCCAATATTTGTCCTGGTTTTATCGTTTTGCCATGCGTTTACAGATACTACTAGACCTCCCAAGCCCGATGAAGAGAACGGCCGAAGCTATTACTTTGTCTCGCACGACGAAATGATGGCGGACATCGCTGCGAATGAATACTTGGAATATGGTATGTATTACCTTGATCTTTGCCATGACTGGCCCACAGTAATAACTGAAATCTACAAAACAGGCACTCATGAGGATGCGATGTATGGCACAAAGTTGGATACAATTCGACGCATCCACACGGAAGGTAAAATGGCGATACTTGATGTCGAACCTCAGGCTTTGAAGATTTTACGCACAGCCGAATTCACACCATATGTAGTGTTCATAGCTGCACCATCACTGCAGAACATTGCTGATGTAAGTACCATACATCATTATCCATCATCCAACTAAATTGCCATTCAGGGCTACATACTGCCATGGCTCAAACAAAGGAAGTATCGTTTTTTAAAAATCGTTAAAATTGGCTTCAGCCAAAATACGAGTATTTATTTGGGAGCTAATGAAGTTCTTCAATTCCTGTAGCTGGATATGTATTTTATCAAAACGAGGGCAAATATTGACTTAAAACGATCGCCAATACTTCGAAAACTAAAATACCTACGGCACTTCGAACAGTCCCATTGCGTCGAGCAAAATGTTTACAGATTTAACCGCAGTCGTAATGAGGTTTAATGGCATTTATTTTATTTCAACGAGAAAAGTGAAATAAATTCGGAATACACCGATCTCAATATACCGAATATCTAATATAGTGTATTACTAATATACATTAAACCGAATGACCGATTATTTGCATAGCTTTCAAAAAGAATCAGAATTAACACATTACAACGCCGATGGAAGCCTTGCAAAATGTTTAACTCTGCCAGGGACGTTACATTCATGGCTCAACCAGACTAAAAATGTAGATAGTAAACATTTTTTTTGTTTTAAATTGAAGTTAAAACAAAAGACATGTATGGAACATTGGCTTTCCACAAAATGATAGGAAGATAGGAAGCAAAAATTGTTTCTTCAAAAACTTGACCCAACGAAACGCTGTTAGAAACGGTGTCTAAAGGATATGTAGAGGCAAATTAAATGAATACAAAATATGACAACGATGAGATTAGAAAAACAGTGCAACCTTGCCATTTTAATGCATCGAAGTCACACTCTGAAATGCTCCTTGAAAAATGTTTGCTACTTCGGTACTGGGAAGTTCGATGTTCTCGGAAACATTTAATTGAATGAAATAGCCAGCGTAAATAATTAAATTCAAAATATTTTCAATTTTTTCAAAGATAGATTATTGCTGATAATAATAATAATTTGTATTTACTGTATCCTTTTAGTACGATGGCAGTTTGGAACGTCTGGCTAAGGAATCAGATATGTTACGTCAAATGTATGGACATTTCTTTGATTTAACCATCGTCAACAACGATATCAGTGAAACTATAGCATGCCTGGAGAGTGCCATAGAACGTGTACAGACAACTTCACAGTGGATACCAGTTTCGTGGATGTACTGACAAGACAGTGAGCTGGAATGCCCTGATTGTTTGGAGGGCTGTGATTGTGAATGGGAGGCCTACACTAATGGCCAGGATGCAACAGAAAAATGGCAGAACTTTTAAGAACGGCACGGAGGTATCAAATTAACCAGATAGCCAAGCTAAACTACGACTCTTGCGTAACAAGAACAACACACCTATATAAATAATCACTAAAAGAAAAGCAACCAGAGGAACAACAAACACTTGTACTAATTTAAAAGGACAACAACAGCACATACTTTTAAATTACTTTAGTTAAACAATTAAAAAGAAAACGATTGGCAAATAAAAAGAATCGCCGATAACAAATTGCACAAAACAAATGAATAAAAAGTAGGAACCAAACAACGCCACTCAATTAAAAAATCCCAAACAACACACACACACACACATCTTAGGAATGAAGCAAATATAAGAGAACTATCAGCAATTTTCTATGAAGTATACAAAATGCATTAGATTTAAGGGGTTTCCATTTCCATCAAGCTTACATACCAAATATTTATGTACTAAAAAAAATTCAACACTCTTTCGTTAACATTCCAATACATTATGTCGGCGGCAGACTCAAGCACCTTTATGAGCATATTGCCATTTGAGAATTGAATACATTTTTGACTGTTTACATTTCTATATATAGTTAAAAGAAAATATATAGACAACGAAAATCTCAAGGGTCCCAAGAGAATAAGATTTTGTTGAGTTCTATAACAAAGTTGGCCAGTTGCATCCACTTTTGTTGCAAAACACATTGCTTTATTTCTATATGGAGGAAAAATTTAATGTTCAATTGTTAGTATAATTTGTGGGAGGTTTGTTTGCGATTTCCTCTTTTTTTAGTTTTTTTTTTTTATTGATATTGTAATATGGATGATATTACGTATTCTACTGAATTTACTTCAAAAATACATTTTAAGTAGCAGAAAAATAATTAATTTATTTAATTTTTTAGGGGTATTCTCACCAGGAGTTTTTTTATAGATTTCGGCTAAACACTTTGTGTATATCTAAGTTAGATTGACATGCTCTTGGTGGAACCATATTCTTTCCTGTTTTACCGCTTGGCAAACAGTGTCTTTTATATCCATTTCGAAATAAACGTTGTGTGATATGAACAACAATGGATTAGAGAAAATGTTGGACCTCCCTAATTTTTCTTCAATAAACCTTTAATAAGGAAGTACAAAAATCGTATGTGCGAAAGCTTTTATTATGTGCGGTGATCTCTTATATTTGTTGCGTTGTTTTTATTCACGTACAATATCCTGTTTTATGCAAACTAAAAAAGTTTGCCAACTCGTGCAACGATGTAGTTATGCATGCGTAATCAAACACGTCAATTCTCGATGCTCATTCCAAACCTCTCTCCTGCTTGAAGGAACAGTGACAGATAATCAAACATTGCGTAGAAACTGTTCGCCACTTTCCAGAGCTTATTTTCCCAACCAAACAAAAAAGAAGAGTACACAAATTACACGATATCTTTAGAATCATAGAAACCATGGTTTCAACTAAAAGAGTTGAGTAAAATAACAAAGCAAAAACAAACTGATCTTAGACGAATCTCCATATAAATTTACACACAACCATTCTAAATATACTATGTGTATGGATGGACACGATAATAGACTTAATTACTTTTACCGGAGAAGGGCGGGCAATCAGATCAGAACTTAACTGTTAAAACTGGAGATCAAACGTTTGCTATCTTTTCGCCCTCCTCCGGTTAACACGTCTCAACTATTTTCTAATTTTAAGGCCTATTACAAAGGAGCAAATATCTTTTAATAAAACCTCCTCCCACTAACTGAATGGAACACGAAGATGCCAAATTTTTACTTCAGTCAACATTTTTCACAAACCCACTCACACACACGAACACGCACACACAACAATAAAAGCACATACATACACATGTACGAATAACAGATCTGAAAATACAGTGTTGCAGTTAAATAAGAATCATTCATACTCACAAAAGTGCAAATACAGGGTGTTAGAAATACGATGACACAGATGACGAGTGAAAACGATCGTAGGTAAAGAACAGTGAAAACCAAAATTAATTGATATATAATTGACAACAAGCTAAAAAAGACTCAATAACATATTCAAGGAAACATTTACAATGCAAATGACATAAGAATTTTGACATACTGGAACACAATAAACATAAGTGACATACAAACAAAACAACAACAGAAACTGTAACTGTATCAAGGTTAAGTGTTAATATTAATTATTTATTTAAAACAAAACCTAATTGAAATGAAATGAAAATGAAGCAAATAAAATGCGAAATGCAAAAGAAAAAGAAAAAAAAAACGACAACTTTTGAACCCATACCAATGTGTTGATGAGCTGTAGCCGAGTAATAATTTATTTAATTAGGATAAATAACATTTGAATATTATTATATAACTACTATAACAATACATTTTAAGTAAGTAAAGATGACGGACACGAAGCTGTTTAAAAATATTGTTGATTCTTTAAATAAATAATAAATTGACTCGAAAGTAAATGGAAACTTACGAAGGCAAATACACATACACATACACAGAGACAGATACAGACACAACAAACACAAACACACAAATTACACAGTGAACAGCAACACTTGAATTCTTAATTAAACATTAAATTAATTAATTAAATAATATAAATACCAAAACCACTCCCACACATACAGTGTATGGAAATGTTGAACATCGATACTCTGGCAGACCCACGCACATTTGCACCCGCAACACACACCTGCAGACCCGCAAAGTGGGTGGATGCCGATTGTTAACAGTTTGCAAAGAGAAAGCTCAAACACTTGCAAAGATAATGAAGCAAATTAAATTGTTAAGTCGAAACCGCGAAAATAAACCAAATCGAATAGATCCAAAAGAGACGAAAAGAAATTCCAAAAATATATAAAACAAAAGTAACATAAAAATTATATAATAAATATTTATTAAAATACACTAACACACGTATATAAATAATGACATTATCTATATATATGTATATACATATATGTGTGTGTATATGAAAGTAAACATAATTAAAGCGGACAGTGAAAATGTAAAACATTGCATAATAACAAATGATAATATTATTGATAAAGAAAACTTAATAAAAAATTAGCGAAAATAAATTGATTTGAAATTAAAGAAAACAACCAATAATAACAATTGAAGAAAAAATCAAGTCTGTTGTTTTATTATTTACGACTACATATTAACTCTTTCATGATGGCATTATGGGCATTATTAAAAGCACAGGATTATATATATATATATATATATATATATATATATATATATATATATATATATATATATATATATATATATATATATATATATATATATATATATATATATATATGTAAGCCTATCTGAGCACTAAGTTTGTTAAAATAGATATGATACAGAAAAAGGGGATTCCCCAACGATGTTGTGTTTTGTTTGGTGCTGAGCCTGATATTAATCTTGAAGACAGCTTTCCTCCAGGAGAACAACCATATGAATTAAGCATGACGATGTTGGTAAACATTTTAAAATTTGTATACAACGGATGTAACAATATAATATAAATGCCACAAAATGTCTAATATTGAGAGACCTTCAAAGAGAGGCGAACAACACCAAAGTTCAAGCAAAACTTAAAAATTGTTTCCGTTGAAGTTATTAAAAATAGAGTTGTTTTAGCAGACCTGAGAAAAAAAACTTGAAAAATTTATTATTTTGTTATATTATTTAAAATGATTTTTTTTTTTTTAAATTAAGTTATTTTTTACAATCAGAATTCCAAGTAAGATCTCAATAAAAGTGCATACCAATTACTTTTATTTCATTGATAACTTCGTTTTAAATTAAAACTATAATAAAGGCATTGTCCAAACCATTTAAGATTGGTTATTTCAATAGTTGTTGGTTAGACAAGTCTTGTTAAAAGTAGTACATGGTTTAACGAATTTTCCAATTAAACGAAGAGGGCTGTCATCAAATAGTTCGTTAAATCGAAAAATTGCTGTACCATGTTTATTGTCAAAGAATGAAAGCATCGGTATTTGTTGTTGGAAGAAAAGGAAAAGGAGAAAAAACGTCAAAAACATCATGTCTAACTCCGGCGTCAGAACTAATATTGCCTTTATGCAACGTTATGGATATCAATGGGATCTGTGACGGAATGCACATTGGGATCATTAGTCAGACTTCCAACCATCTGTCTTACTTTAGTTTACACACTCTAATAAATGTGTATTTCTCAATTTGTATCGTAAGGTTTCACAATTATTAGCGTACAGTTGTCGTTTTATTGTTAAGGGTCAAGTCATGAATATCAGTTCATATATCTTCTTCCAATTTCATTGTTGACCCTCTTTGATGTTATGGAACCAAAGGATGGTTTCTACCTAGGATGCTGAATTTTGTTTGGAAACATAACTCTATACTGTAAAATCATAAAATAGGGCAATGCGAAGCTTAATAAACGGTAAGATGCCGTTTTGCGAGAATTTATGGACAAAGAAATTAATTGTGCAATAAATTTTGTGACATTTAAAAATTGTAATTGTAAAAGATTAATTTTGTTGTAATTTAGTGTATATTTTACATACCTTTTGTACATTATGTTTTACCTAACAATCAAGGATGGTGAAGACTAAGAATGGCTTATTCCTACAAGTTGCATGGAAAGTGCAGTGATTTTCAGGCAGGAATCTTTAATTTTGAATGAGATGTAACATCGGTTGCACTTTCGTTTATAAAACAAAAACAGTTAAAAGTCCATATTTTCCAAAAAGTTAACAGACTCTTTACGTAAGATCACAATTAAAAAATACGTCGCTCGAGACCCAATTTAATGCTGTCCTTTAAGAACATTGCTTGTTGGGAAGGTTGGGCAATAATGTGGGGTTTGTAGGAATTCCTACAGAAAGTACTAAATGGTGTGTCCGTCGGTAACATTTGTATTTTTTAAGGCTTCTTTTGATACGAGCCGAGTTTCAGGCACACCGTACTAAAATGAAAAAAAATATTTCTAGCTCTAGAGTTCGGGATGTTGACATTTATGTTTAACTGGCAATGCATAAATTTTCTGCGGAAGTTCTATTAAAAATTATGCACTTTCCGTTCGTTAGAAGTTGCAAAATGTACTTAACGGAGAAGGAGAAGTTCGAGAAAATTTTGTACTAAAATGCACTATTATGTACTAAAGATAAGTAATTAGCTCAAGGCTGTTAACCTTAACAGGTCACAAATGAATACCAACACCAAAGACACCGCAAAATTATTGAAAGAAATCGTAAAAAATACACAACAAAAATGCATTTGTAAATCAAAAACAGCGGTAGTGTTTTGCACTTAAAAATATATATCTAAATTCGATTGGGTCCAATTTTTAATACCATCCACCATGTGGCAGCTAAAATGAAAATATGGATCTGTATAGTCAGGGAAGGTGGTGCCTGTTACGAACTCTTAATGATGATTTGAGATAATTCCATTGGAAAATATGGATATTTTTACTGAATATCGAAAATGCGTACTTTTGTACATAATTTGGCGACATCAAAATAAACTTTGATTTAATACTGTTGAGAAATGTCGCTAAAATCATCATACCCTTATGGAGGGACTGTACGAATACGTGGACCTGTGTATGTGAATGTCTGTCAAATGTCTGGTGGTATCCATTGCGAACGTCAAATACAAAATTCGAAATCATTCCCCTGGAAAGTGAGACAAAAATCATTAAAATACCGAATATCGGGAGGTACCGTTATATAGGGTCTACACTAAAACTTGAACATATATAGGCAGCTCTCTGAGAGATAAGACGAAAATTTTCAAAATACCTATTGTAAAGATACGAACAGTGCACAAGATATCACGGATATTATTGATCGATCCATAAACTAAGAATTTTGAATTTTTGTCAGAGTTGAACCCTTTTGTAGGGGCAGAAGTTATTCTATTTGATGTATAGAATCCTAAGTGTCTTTCAGTACAGACAATACAACTTCACTCAAAACAGTACCTCATTTTTTAAGCCACATGTGTGTACATTGCCACTACGTGTTCGTGTACGGTGACATGCAAGTAGATCTTATCGTTTGTCAGTGCCACTCGCTATTGCTGACTTTAGATTTTCCTCGAAAAACATTGAACTAGACGTGGTGAGAATGTAGACGATACTCCGATTCCCACTTCGAGGCTGTGTATGCAAATATTGAAATGACCGCAACCTCGAATATCTTCCCAGAAATAGAAGAGGAGAGACGAAATGAGTGTAAAATAAACGGGCGTGCGGAAATCCCAAGCTTGGCAAAAGAAATAGCCAAAGCACTTATGTGACTTGTTTCAGACACCAATACTCAGATTACATGCAAATGCTTTAAATAGATGTCAAATTGCAAAGAAACATCAACCTATGCCGTACCATGGTCGCATAGCAAGTATTCACGATATAGAGTGGGTCTGCGAACTCGGCATTTTGTAACTATTTGTGCAAAAATTCACTGGGTGTTGCATTTGTAGACAAGACTCCAGTAGCCAAGGAGATTTTTCGTCAAAGAAGTAAGTTTGGTCGGGCAGAACCTTTGATATCCACCGTTATTAGGTTACAAGAATGTGTAAAGTAAACAAATACCGATCAATAACTGAAATTTAAAGTTTTTTAAAGTAAAAAGGTAATATTTAGTTCGACTAGTTTAGTAAAGTAATGGAAAAAAAAATTAATAATAATTTTATTATTTATATTGCAAGAATGTAAACATTTTTATGCGATAACCGATTTTCCCTTTAACGTATCGAACAAAAATGGCAAAAATAATATTTTCTTGCAGGGCAATTGTATACCCTCCATAGTATGATTAGTATTAACTTTGCCAATCCATTTGTAACTAATCGAAATACTCATGTCGGATACAACAAAGTATGTATATTCTTGAGCAGCATAAAATTCCAAGTCGATTTAGCGATGTCCGTCTGACTGTTGTAATCACGCTATCTTCCGAACGAATTCAGATAATGTATTTTGCCAGTAGGCAGATTAAGTTCGGGTCAAGGGTCATATCGGTCCACGTTTTCCTATAGCCCCCATATAACGGTACCTCTAAATATTCGGTGTTTTGTTTTGTTTTTGCGACATTATAGACTGGAATTGTTTGAAATTTTGTATTGGAAGATGTTAATGGGTAGTACAACTCATTACAATAAATTACTTATGCAGGTCCACGCCTTCGTATAGCCACCATATAACGATATCTCGCAATATTCGTTATTTCGATGATTTTAGAGACATTATTCACTGGAATTGTTTCAAATTTCGCATTTGAAGTTCGTAATGGATACTTCAACCTATGACAAATATTTAGGCATGTCGGTTCACGTCTTCATATAGCAAATATATAACGGTACGGCAGCTTAGTTCAGCCGGGCCGAATTTTTAATACCCTCCACCATTATAGAGGAACTTGAAAATTTTGAAAAAAAAAACGTAGAAACTAGCTCTCAAAGAAGACGTGGGTTTTCAAAAGTAATTTTTTGTCATATGCTGAAGTACCGATTGCGAACTTTAAATACGAAATTTGAAACAATTCCGCTGAATAACGCCGGTAAATTCATCAAAATGCCGAATATCGTTGTATCAGTCGTAGGCTGTAGTACCCATTACGAACTTCAAATACGAAGTATGAAACAATTCCGGTGGAATCGGGGTTATATTAAGGCGTGGACTTGCATACACAATTTTCTGTCATAGGTTGTAGTATCCATAATAAACTTTAAATAAACAATTTCTGTGGATAATATAGCTAAAATCATCAAAATACCAAATATAGGGAGGTATCGTTATATTGGGGCTATTCGAAGACCTGGACATGCATAGACAATTTTCTGTCACAGGGTATTAGGTATTTCAAATACGAAATTTGAAAAAATTCCGGTAAACAATGTCACTAAAATCGTTTACATAACGAGCATAGGGAGGTGCAGTTATATGGGGGCTATAGCCTATTTTCAATGCCAAAACTTGCACCAGCAAGGCCGGAGCGCCGTCTACTGGTATACTTACTCAATGTTGTGGATTGACAGAATCTTTCCAAGAACCACATTGATGACGACAACAACAACTGACCTACATACGAGTATGTATGTACATTGACAATTGCCACCAAATGACAATTGTTCATAACTACCGTTACATTTGCATTAACCGCAAACCACGTCGGTTAACGAATCAGTAATAATATCGAGACATTTCAGAACCAGAAGCCACTCAAAGTGTTCCCAATCGAATTTCGGCTAAAACACATTAAACATAGGAACCTACCCAGTAAACAATTTTTTCCGACTGCTCTGATTTTAGATTTTTTTCCGAAATTTCTGACGTTTTTTTCAGAAATTTCTGATAGAAATTGGTCCGATTTTCTAAACGTTTTTTTTTTAGAATTTCTGCACATTTTCCTGTGTTTTTAAGCGAAAAAAACTCGAAAAATGTACAAACGGAGAGAGTAGATTGTCTATTGCTCTGGCATATTCTCTCCCACATGTAAACGGATGGTGGTGGTTTGACACATTCTCTCCCATAGTAGTTGTTGTTGTGATCATTCATTTCAAGATCTCAACAACAACAAAGCGCAAAGCAAAAATGCTATTTGTTATTGTTATTGTGAACTGTTAGATTTTCCGTTGTAAAAATGTGCGTTTTGTTGTTGTTGTGAATCAGCCTCTTTCTCTTTCGTTCCCAAAAATATATGATGGAAAAAAATTGCAAAAACAACTACATACCGGTTTTCTGTGTGCACTGCTTTTTATTTTTAGTTCTTGTTTAGCAGTTGAAACAGTTCAGTTCCTAATAAAAATAATATTTATAATGTAAATGTATTATAGATGTAATATTTAAACTACATTTTTACGAAACCCGAAATAAATTGTTTGTTTTTTAAATAAATATATGTTTTTTTTTTCATTTTTAAGTGGTGTGACGATTTTTTCGATATTTCTTCCGAATTCTGAATGATTTCTTTCACAAAATCGGAACTTTCTCCCGAATTCTGAGCGTTTTTTTTTCAGAAAATCTGAATTTTATTCCGAATTTTCTTTCGAATTCTGACCGATTTCTTTCAGAAAATCTGAATATTCCGCCGAATATCCAGACGAATTCTGCCCGATTTCTTTCAGAAATTCGGAGTTGTCCTCCGAATCTTTTCCGAAAATCTAATTTTTTCTCCTATTTTTTCAAGAATTTTCACCGAATTCGGACCGAATTCGTCCAGAAAATCTAATATTTTTTCAGATTTTTTTCAGAAAATCTTTCCGAATTCGGTGACCACGTCCATACAACTTTCGTACCGAAATCGGAAGGAATTCGGAATCAGAATCGGACATTTTTTCAGAGATTCTGACAGAAATCGGACCGAATTCGGCAAAAATTGTTTACTGGGTAGCTACTTCTAACCGAATCAATACCAACTTCTAACACACACTCGTGCATACGGACAGGCACACCTTCATACAAACATACGAACCATAGTGGACGTTCTTGACTTTTGTGAGAGTACCTATATTGGGCTTAAAACAAAATTGACAATAAACACCTTGACAAAGGAGATAGCTCAGTGTTTGAGTTGTCCAACCAGAGAACGAAAACTCCAAGCAAGCATGGTGGAAAGAGCGAACAAGATCAATTCAGTTTAAAACGGTTCGTATAAACCTGACATTGAGTGCTGAGAGCAGGTGGCCGAATGGAGTGGAGTGGGTGAGCAAGAGAATCACACGCACACACACATGCAGGCCAGACACTTTTAGAGAATCGTGGTGAGATTCCACTGGAAATTCCAGCATTGCTGGCGACGTTGGCCTGAGTTTAATTGGTTACGAACGAAACGAGCGTTAAGTCGTGTTTGTTTTCTCTAATTGTGAGGGCTCCCGTACGGTGTGCGCTATTGAATTGTTTCGGTTATCGGTGAACGTTGAGTTGACTCTTTGAGCCCTGCTTAGTTCGAAAGAATCGTCTGACGCAGGTGTAAATGCTAATCGGTTTTTGTGTATATCTAGTGACCTGTCGCCCGTGGTGTCGTGTTTTAATTGCTCTTGGGTGTTCGTGCCAATAAACAATTGATTTTGTGTAAAGTGATAAGACCTAAATTGGCGCATGGCGAGTTGGAAATGGATTCGAGTTGTCCACAATAGAATTTGTCCAGAACGAAAAAGAGTTTCATCCAGCAATAACACAGAAAAAGGTACAACTGCACAATATTCTGAAGCGGAAGTCGCAGCAGCAAGCACAGCTCACAGCAAGCGGGATGAGCTATGTGAATTCAGAATTAAAATCAATAGAATTTGAAATGGAAATCGTAGTTTGCTGATAACGACATTGTCGATAAGGGGAGAGTGCTGTTTGCACTCGAGCAAAGTTATTGCTTCGTGGTAGTGTTGGTGCGGGCTGAGTCGATCGCCAAATAGTGTTTATTTGTTTCATGTGTTCGAATCTCAGATTTTTGCTATTTCTGATCAAATAGACTTCAAGAGCATTGTTGTGTTATTCTAAGCTTTGGCTTATTGCAACGAAAACGATCGACCAGAGCACTGCGTTCCGGATGACCTTTAACATGGTAGCTGCCTTCAATGTGTGGTGTATTTTCCTTACATTAGTACACACATACATGCATATGAATATGTATGTACGTAGAATAAATGATAGAACCGAAGTAGAAATGAGCAGCGGAATAACCAACACTGCATTCAGCATTCTTGTAATTAATTATGTTCCAAGCAGACACACACACACGTCTGTCCGCAGTCTCACAGATACAAGCGTTGTCAATAATACTCTGATTTGATTCTGATACTGAGCATGGACGAGAACATATATGAAAAATTATAATTTAACTAATTGTGGAGAGACAAGCCATTTTATTTGCTCCAATAATATTACTTCCTCAACCCCCCCCCCCCCCCATTGCTCATCAAGAATTTACATTTTTGCACATTACGTACTTTTGCCTCTTACACATCGCAACCACGGAGATTCAACGATTCAGAATGATTGAGAAATCGATTGAGTTTCAATTAGAACATCTTCCGATCAGTGACTGAAATGAACCTCTCAACAAACATAAATAAATTAAAACAGTTATGCAGTTTAAAATGGCTCTTTCGAGCAAATACCGACTCAGAGTTTGAAGATCAATCAAATCAATCAACTGAAAAATATGTCAACCGAAAATTTTGTGTTGGGTTATATTATCCCTAGCCAAGGACTGTCAGATTTTTATACGATAGAAATCTCGATAAGGATTCGCATCTCAGAGGATCAGTTATATTTCTTGATTTTTGAGAAACGCTACATTTTTATATTATCGCCAATTTTATATCTTCGCCATAGTATTATACGAAGAATTATGTCTACTGACAGATGACTTACTACCTACACAAAAAGTTGTTTAACATTTTTTTCATACATAAATATCTTTTTGATAAAGGATGATTTTACTGTTCGAAAATTGGAACAGAGGACGAAATGGGTTAAAACAAGAAAAGAAGAAGCCAACTTCATTTCAATCGGAAATTAGACAGACATGTAAATCGATATAGTACTTCATTTTGATGAAGAATATAAAGTGAGGTCTGAAATGCTCATTTCGCTCAGAAACAAACGGAATGACATACTAAATATACCATTGTTGTATGGAGGAGGGCATAAACACATTTTTAACATGTCCGCCTTTGTATAACTTTACATACAGACTTTTTTACTAACAAAAGATCTGTTACGAAGACGATATATATCTGTGAACCCCTCACCCACAAAGAGTCACAATTTTCAATACTTTTGCCTGTCATAACTTGCGAAACAAGTCAGCGATTATTTACAACTTGCTATGCCTAAATATTTCTCTCAATCAGAAACCTGAGATGAATATGGAATTTTTGGTTTCGCACAAAATTGGTACCAACATTTTGATCTGTATTAGATTAAGTATGACAATGGAATAATTCGCTCGACTATGTCTGGACACACACTTACACACATTTTAACACTTTCTAAAAATTATCACATATCTCATATAAAGTGAAGGAAGTAGTCGATATAGTCCAAACCTGGCACGTCGCAATATTTATATCAATCTATATAGGTCTGACACGAAGTGGTCAATATTGGCCCATTCCTTCGGGACCTACTATGTAGAGTATGAACAATTTGAATAACCATTACACAAGTCAAAATCAATTTTAATAATCGAACATTGGCTGGCGGTATACATCTGTTGGCCAAACCGACTAATACTTTTTAACTTGTTATATATTGTTTCAAATGTATATTTAGCTATATGTATCTGCATTATTGTTAGCTACATTTTGGCTTTTGCTGACCAAAAACATGTTTTGGCAACCTTTTCTAAATGATCTTTGATAGAATTTAACTTAAGTACACAGCATTTAGTCGCGGACATAAAAAGCAAAATTCGACTACTTGTAAGACTGGTCAGGCAAAGTGGGACGGTCCCGCTAATTCCAATTTGTTTCTTGATGCCCGCGGATGAGACCAGCTCAGCATGCGATCCACGTTAGTTGTACATAAGAAAACATGGTGGGCATCATAATTTGGCTGAGTTTTTTAAGACATCACTCCCGGTACTTACTAGCAAAATGAAATTAACCTGCATTTCAGTCTCGAAACTGTGCATACGAATGTTCAACTTCAATTTGCAAAATTAACAATTTTTGCACAAAGTCTAAAATATCCACGGTTCTTTTTGGGTTTTTCCATTTGTTTTAACCTCAGCGCCCACAAGAGCTGCAACCGGTCTTCTTGCCCAAAAAATTAAGAGCCGATTCGTTGTATACTTCAGCTATAATGATTCGGTGTCTGGCTAGGTTTGTGTTAGACAACATTTGAGCAGTGATCGCTGTGTTTTTGTTGTTATTCACGGTTTGTTTATAATTGAGTATCGTGGTTGACTGGTTGTTAACTATTGCCTCTACCTTGTTGGAAAGAGAGAGAGAGAGAGATCCAAATTGAGTATTTGACGTAGTATTGATATTTAGGAGCAGAGCCAAATTTTAGCACCAAAACAAAGCAAAACTGAAAGGTATCCAACCGGTTTGGGCGGACATACAGACACACACCGGGCGTAGATGTGTTTATTTGTGGTTAGACATGTCTATATATTTTTTATAAATGAATGAATAAAGAGCAGAAATATTCGCAAACCATTTGGAGTTGGTTTAAACAACACCACTGACACAGAATCGAATTTATTTCCATAATATTTGTATGTGATACGTTAAATTCCATCTATCACCCCCAAACTATGTGTAGCGCAATTTATGTTCTCTGTATTTTGTTATGCCTATGCCTGGGATAGAGAATTAGTTTTTTCATAACATGGGAAAATATGTTACTTATCTCTACAAATGATTGAACTTGGTTTAATTAGTTGCTTTGAAATTCGAAGTCTCTCCGGTTTCAAATAACATAGAATTGATCTCACTTCTCGTTGCTCGCGAAAACTGCTACTTCAAAGTAATGGAAGCTATGAAGAAAAATATGCTGTCAAATTCAAAACGCCCCTTACATTGTCTTTCAAGCTTCAAGGGCGTTAGTTGTAGTTCGAAACGTAGGCAACATAAAATAGTTTCCTCAATCAAGGTCCACAAGTGACATATTCCCTCACCTAGCGACAACTCCCGATTTTATATATTTTGAGGTTTATATACCATTATCCATTATTTCATTTCTATTTAATTGTACTGTACGAATGGGCCATGTGAAGCTAGAACCAACATCAAGCCTCTAGTATTTTATAGCCCGCAAAGAACGATGTAGCCACCAGAACAGACATTTCGATTCGTGCAAACGGAAATGACTTCGTCAATATGTCTATAATTGTATTCACACACACTCGTTATCTCAACTATATTGATGGTTTAAGCACGTTTGATTCCCTTGGACTAAAACTCAAATCAGTGGGTTTTAATCAAAAAGTTCAATAAACTTGCCCTCCATTGTTATTGAGTTTTTTTTTTTTTTTTTTCTTTTTGTTTCATGGCATCGCTGTTAGTATTTTATGTTTCCGTTTCGTAGTTGGTATGGGTGTCTCTTTGTGAGTGTTTGTGCTATTTAATAATACTCAAATCATAAAAAGTGTTTCAAGTGTTTGTCAAGATTTTGGCGATGATTTGTTTTTAAATCACAAAGCAAACATTTAATTATTCCAAACATGTTCTGTTTCGGATTAATTTGAGTTACATATTTTTTACTCGTCTGGTTTTGTGCGCAAAGGGAAAATGGCTTATTAATGGATGGAGACCTTCACTTCAAAGATTAAAATCCATGTCGACAATGTGTTACTTTCAAAGTGTTGTGGTGTAGTGTCAATCTGGACAAATGGCATAATCAGAACAGTTTCAAACTCGAGCTTCGCATTAATTCTTTTATATATTTATGTGTATGTAGCATCGTGTTAAGCATATGCATGCTGATCTAGATTTGAAAAACAACACTTTATGGCCTTACATTTTTCTACGAAGATATTTAAAGACACATTGAAACTTAATACCCCACTTAAAATTATTTTATCGCAGTACTTGGTGTCAGAATATACTCATATACGTACACGGGTACATAAGCTTAATAGCATATTAACATTTGGATTATTATCACGATATTCTGCTTCATCATCACATGGTTGCTTAATCTAGAGAACTTTATCACAGGCTGCCACACAAACACACATCATCGCGTAACTCCAAATTTCCAAAAGCTTCTACGAGTCATTCGTGACAATCAGAGTGTCCATGGCTGAAAACTTGCGGGCTTTACCCGCTTATGTGTTGATAGACCGATTTTCTAAAAATAGATATATTTTTATTGAAAAATACCAGAAATATTTCCGGTCAAATAAAAACAGTCTTTCTAACTTAAATTTGCAACGGGATAGTCCTGCACAAGTTCCAGTTTCCGCAATATCAGCCTCGATCTTCGTAGTTAACAGTTCGGATTTAAATTCATATTCTTTTAGGATAAGACCGACCTTAGTGTGATAATCAAATGTTATTAAGAGTTATACTGACAATATTGGATAAAGTGTTGCATTTATTATTAGAATCTAATTTGCAACTAAAGGTACAATTTAATTACTGTGTTATGTGTTGAACCAAATCGCCCCTGAGTGTTGAGCGTAAATACTTAATGCCTAGTTAAGTATATGCCCTTGTGGCGATGAGACGATTATCTACTCTGTACGAGAGAACAGTGAATGTTTCCATGTATTTAATAGTCCTTATGCGTCCCATTACATGCCCGACACCCGATAGAACCCATGGCATTTGGCGTAATTAGAGCTAACGCCGAATAAACTCAAAGTTAGTAGCTTCATTCAACACTTTACTGTTTCTTGATAACAAAGGAATTTTGCAAGTATTTGCAAACAGGACCTTGTCCGCAAAACATTTGGAATCTATCAGGCGACTTTCAGTAACGACATATAATTTTATAGCAACATTTAACATTTATTGTAAATTGTGGTCATAGATTAAAATCATACGTTTTACATAATATTATTGCAGGTCTGTTTTTATCATTATAATGATTTTTAAAAAAGGTTCAATAAATTAAACTAAAAACTTAGCGGAATGCAACAATTGTTTTATAGGGGTTTCGCTGATTTCGTCAATATAGCGTCAATCTTAAATCGGCTTTGAATTTGGATACAGATGCTCATCATGACCTTATTATTTTCTCGTTTTTTTTTTCTGTAGTAATAAAATTGATGCTATTAATAGAAATGTAAAAATGTTTTTGAAATGCGTATCAATTTATTTAAGAATAAATTGCATGTTTAGTTCAATACAATGGCAACTAATGCCAAGTTTACGTTAGAAGTTTTTGCAGGGTTAACCTACTTTAAGAGGATTTATTTGAGGTTTAAGTAATGGATATGACAATTTTAATCCAAATCAAGTGGGTTAATTACTCAAAAACAGGGAAAAAACAGATTATAACCAAAACAGAGAAAATCCCAAACATTTTTTACAAAAAAAAAACTGAATAATGGTAGGTTTGCAAGTTACCGGTGTATGATTCACATTTGCAGCTCTTGGGAACTATGCGTTTAAACTCCAAGCACGTTCTTATAGGTTGTGAAGACAGATAATATTTAAATGTGGGTTCAAGTGTTTGCCACACCTAAGGGATCACACGGTATATTTTTGTCAAATCGAGAAGCCATCCATTCCGCTCAAATCTTTCTTCTGCAAAATACCAATATTTCTGTAAAACTTACAGATAGACAGGTTTACTCCCTGTGACTTTTTCACATCTGTATTACGAAATTTCGAAGATTATTTTTGAGCGCTCCCAACAATGTTTAAACTCAAAAGAAACGCTATATCATGTGAACTATATAATATATACACAATGTATATTATGTATACCCTTTTATAGTTTAAAACATGGATCATGTTCCAAAATGTTGTATTTGTGACAGACTGTGAATAATAAATTGATCACTTATTTTGATGGTCATTTTGACAAGTGTTGTCAAGGATTAGAAGAGGTGATTTTTTTTTTTTCAAATTTCTAATCTATTGAATATTGTAATCGTATGATACTACTTTTCTGATTCGACCATGCATTTAAATTAGAATTAGTTAATTTAAATTTATAAAAATTGGATAGTAAATTTATGTTTAATCTTGACTATGTTTGTTTCGATTCGCACTCCACAAACAGCTCAGAAATACCGCTGAAAATTTTTGTCAAGTTCTACTCAGATTTGGATATAGCTCCCATATCTATCTTCATCCGACTTCACGTTTATGGTGCATCAAATATTTAACATCAGCTCAAATTAGTCGGATTTTGGCTTGTTCGGCCATATGTATGTTTTATCCAATTTTATAAATATAATTAGGATATTAGAGACAACCTAGAAATCTTCTGCCAAGTTTTGTCGACATCGCTTCAGATTAGCATATAGCTCTCATATAAATCTCCTTCTAATTTGTCCAATTACGTTGTTTCATCCGATTTTATATTAAAGTATTCTGAACGTCATAACCATATCCATGCACCACATGCACTCCACACTTTATTTGTTACAGGTGACTCATGAAGGCGTTGGATATCATAAAGTCGACACTGTCCGGCTTGTATCTTTATGTGCTGGTTAACTTAACGAAAACTTCGAATTATTTCATTTGTTATTCGATTGTTCCACTTGAAATTACAATTTTTTCATTTATGTATTCGAATTATTCCATTTGCAATCAGAACTATTCCATTTGTAAAGCGAACTATTCCAATTAGAATTCGAAAGACTCCAATTGTAATTCAAATTAGGCTAAGTGTGCCTAAGTTCGGCATGTCCCAGTAGTCGGCACTTTTTATTTTTAAGCCCAAATAAATGAAACTATTATAACTAAATGTATTTTGTTTACTTCAATTATATTGTCAGCTATCTTTGGGTACAATTTCGCAAAGAAAAGATGATTTGTTCTAATAAAAATTAAATTTTTGTCTGTGAAGGTCCTCAACAATCCATATTCTTAAGAAAAGTACAATAAAGACGTCGAATCAGTTTATCTAAACAAAAATATTATAATTTAATGAATCAATTTATTATTATTATTAATTATTCTCACAAAAAATGTCATACCGACAATTGGCAAGTGGTGCCGACTACTGGCAAAAAGGCATTGTTTTAATAAAACTACAAATTTATGAAATTTAATAAAAAGTTATTAAAACTTTATTTATTATTGCAAAAACTATACAAAATTTCGAATCTGAATAAATTAACTTTGTAATAATTGAAAAGTTCCACTCAGAATGGTGAGCGATTAAAAACGATAAAATCCTAAAAGTGCCGACTACTGGTACACTTACCCTATACCATTTGTAATTGAAATGACAGACAAAACTACAAATGATAATAGACTGCCAATGTAGATATCTTATGATATGTAATTTTTTAACAAATAGCATGATTTTAATGGCCATTACCTATCCTATCATTGGTATCAGAATGAATATAGTGCGACGAACTTTATTATTAACTCCACCATTCTATGTAACTCCTCGAAATGTTTATAATATACCCTACAAAGTATATATATATTCTGGATCAGCGTAAAATTCTAAGACGATCTGTCTGTTGTATTATTTTACCGGAAGTATTCCAAATTTCATATTTACTTGTTCACTGGTAAAAGTCTAAAAACAAAAATAATGAAATTTCTTTATCTTTTTTGTTTCGGTAGGCACACTTTTCGCCGGCGTGTGCATGTGGTAATTGCAAACAATTGAGGCGGTCGCGCGGAAGCAATGAACCCCAGAAATGGGTTATTTTGGCATTTAGCTCTGCTTTTAGTGGCAACATGCAGTTGGCGCCAAGGAAGTGGCCGAGAATCACAATTGAGGGTTGGCAAAGCCCTCAATGTGTTTGTGCGATTCGGTTATTTGGGCATATCAATGCGAGTAATACCCACCAATGATACAGCAGAAGAAGTGCGATGGCTTTTCAAGGAGCCCACCAGAAACATTTACAAGGTACGTTTGAAATGGAATATGATGTACAAGTTTAAGATGTTGTAACGTTTGGCTCTCTCTCTCTCTCTCTCTTGCAGGATGTTCACAATTATGCTGAAAACAATGAGCAAAATACACCTGGGATTTTCCATGGCGACTTCCACATGGAATTCTGCGACAATCGGCGTCAGTTGTATCAAGCCTATTTTCGAGACTTTACAATTGAACGTTTGGATAGGCCATGGGAAGCATTCACGGGTGGTTGGTTTCCCGACAACGCAGCTAAGAAATTGGGTATAAACACATCCTTCATCCAAGGCGACTACTCGTACGTGTTGGTAAGGGTGGTACGTTTCAGAGAGACCGGTAAATTTAAATCGGATCTGCCACTGAATTTGACCCTGGAAAACGATGTTCGAGAGCGAATGAACGACATCGTAACTGGAAATGTGACGACAGCTGTGAAATTTTTCGAAAATGTTGGCACTCATTACATTAATTCGTATACCACCGGCAATTCGCTATATCAGGTAAATCCCATAGGCCAGGGTAGTGCCAAAGACGAAGAAGAATTACGACAGGACATTATATAGCATAGCCAAAAACTAATAAAACTCTGTGGTGACATCGAGAATCAGGCAAACAACTAGTGTAATTCTTAAAAAGTTATTAACTTTTTTTTTTTTTGATTTTGCACTCCAGTAAAAAAATAGTGGGAAAAAGTAAATTGGCATATGTTAGGAAGACCACATCAAAAGTCCTTGTTTCGTACATATACTTATCAGTCAATGTCTATACTATGGTGTCACCCGAAACGTTTGAAATGTTAATTTAAGCCTCACATCTCATGTGACCTCTTCACGTTTATCGTTACATTTTTTGTAGCATGTTTTTAGGTGTCCAGAATAGGACCGTTGTTAGTCTCTGCAATAAGTAGTTATATTTCTTTTCTCAAAGGCCACAAGACTTATATCCTTATTTTTATTTCAGGTTTTCGTATATAACCGACAAAATTACCAAATGATTAAGGAGCGTATCAAATCCAAGGGAATCAATTCGTTGTCAAAACAAGATCTTTATCATTTCTTTGCCCCGTGGTTTGCGGAACATCTGGGCCAAATACGTTCGGCCAGTGCCAACAACACCGTCGAACGATGGGCTCGCCGAAAACTGCAGTACGAATATTTGCTGGTAAAATATGTCACCCTGCTGAAGTTGCACGGCAATGGCACCCTACTGCGTACCCTGGACACGTTGTTGGGCAATGACGCAATACTGCAATTAGATTTGAAATCCCTCAACGTAATATTTCATAATGACCCCGAGAAACAAAACTGGTTCCACGAAGTCCTGGACAATCACATGGAACTCTGGGAGGCCAATATGCCGCAGAACTGACGTGTGATTGGCATACTGTTTATGTTATAGTTCCTACTGTTCCTGCCGCTAAGAGCCTGTAGCTGTAACACCTGCAACAGGGAATGGATTTCAATTTAGTTGGCTTAGTTTAAGGTATTGTTTTTGTCGTTTTAAGAACAGTTCAACACGTTCTAATGCCTGTGATAGTTTTTCTAGAACCGTATTTAATAATTAACTACTGTCGTAATCTAAATATTAGTCCACGGCGCACGACATATGTATGTATGTATGTATGTATGTATGTATGTATGTATGTATGTATGTATGTATGTCTGCCATAGAATTTAAATCCAAAAGCCAATGTAACGAAAAAATGCTAGATTCGAAGTTGTATCTGAAACAAAGTGTAGATAGTCGTTTGAATAGTAAAAATGTTTAATGATAGTCATATATTCAAGTTTATATGTATGTATGTGAATGTAGTTAAGTATGTATGTGTTAAGATTAGCTTACAACTTACTGAGGATTTTATATAATTGCAGTGCATGCGAGCATAAACTTATATGGTCGCATTCACTGAATTCATGAAAATACATGGGAAATACGTAGAATCGGAAGTGTTTCAATAATATTTGACAACGAACAGGTAGTATCTAAATAGTTTATAATTTTAGTTTAATCGGCACACAATATGTTATGTTTTGCTATGTATGTTTTGGATCGATTATATTCTGGGCGTAAGTCGAGCATGTCAATGATTGGTGAATTGCTGCGGTGGCGCCCAACATATCCGACGCAATACCTATGACTTATGGATATATATGTAACAGAATACTTAACAATCTTCCTTCTGTCAGCTATTCAGGCATAGGTCAAGGGTTAATGTCCACATTTAATGCTTGAATGAGAAAAAATATTATTTCGACGTTTTTTTAGTTGTCGAATATAAGCTGAGTTATTAGTAAACTGTTTTTATATCCTTAGCCGTATGGCTACAGAGGGTATATATCATTTGATACGGCCAAAACGTGCCTCATCGAAATTACGGTTTTAGACCCTAGGTCTCTTTGGACCAAATTCGTTTCAGGACATTTGGAGTCGATCTAACGATGTCCGTCTGTCTGTCTGGCTGGCTGGTGCGCACGATAACTCTCGAAGGGAGTATCCGATTTGATCCAAACTTGGTACATCGTAATATTATTGTCAATCTTAGATCGAATTCGGAGATGGGCACTATCGGCCCACTCCTTTGGTACCTCCCCAACAAAATTGGTTGAAATTTTAAAAAAATATTGTTTGCACAGAAAGAGAAACGATAATCCGATTTTGCTCCAACTTTGCAAATCTTAATATTTGCGTCAGTGCTAGGTCAAGTGTGAAAATGGACAATATCGGTCCACTCCATCAAGTACCTCCCCCACAAATGGTCAAAATTTTGAATAATTACAACTCTTATAAAATGTGATGAAAGAGTCCGATTGTCTTCAAATTTCACACATCCCAATAATATTATTAACCCAGGATCTGATGTTAAGATGGAATATATCGGTCCGCTATATCTGGAACCTCACATATGTATCCACATTTTCCAAAAAAGTGCACATATCTTATATAAAGTATAGAAAGTAGCCGATATAGTCCAAACCTGGCGCGTTGTAATATTTATATCAGTCTTTGGTCAGATACGAGTTGGTCAATATGGCCAATTGCTTGGGAACCTCCTCCAAGAACGGATCAACAATTTGAATAATCATAACTCAAGGCTGGGGGTATATGTATATCTGTCGGCAAAACCGACTGACACTATTTAATTGTTTTATAAAAGGCTAGTGCCTAACATACATACTCAATGAAACAAAACGACATATTTCCATTTAAATTTCCTCCAGGACCAGAAATATATATTTATATATTTTTCTAAAATCACCAATAATGGCGAAAACTACAAAAGAAAGCATGGGTTGTAACATCAACAACATTAGAGCGATAAAATCCACGAAGAACTTGTGAAAGCGGTCATGGTACAGTGACAACGCTTTTTCATACCATCAACGACATCTACCGAAGCATAAAAACAATGAAATTTCGCATCTCAATGTGTTTGCTTTGTTCCATGTCTTTGCTAAATCTCAATATGTTGATGGCTTGGCTCTGTCACTACGGTATCATACAATTAGCTCCATCTGTTGACAACGAGTACGTACACGAACCTGTCGAACAGTCTTATCTGCATGCTGCAACATTGTTACCTAAAAATCAAATTCTAATAACAATTGTAAAATGTTCAAAGGATGGGAGTTTTTAAGATATGCTTGGGGAATGGGAACATTCAGAACTTTCACCTTCTAAAGAAATGATACAATGTTCTTATTAAAAAATGTATATATGAATCTAGTCAGTACGATTCTCATTCATTTGAATGCGAATTTTTTAATATCTTTAAATTAATTGATATAAAATACTTATTAAATACTAAGTACTAATACTCATAAGTATTAATTTAATTCCGCAGTACAATTCTGAATTATTACTTGATACCTGCCATGATACAAATACATATGCATGTTAAAATCCTTAAGCGTTTTCTCCGTGGATTTGAATTACTGAACACTGTAAAAATATCCTTTTTGAAACAAAGTCAGCAACTTTAAGCCGAATATCCTATTAAATGGTATTGTAAATAAACTACCTTCCGTGTTACGAGTAGGTTCGAAAATAATGGGTTATTTCTAAAGAAATACGAAGCAAAAGTAACTTAATTGTCTCATTTCAAAGTAATGAATAACGTAGGTACAGAGGTTGTAAGTTCGAGATTCGACAAACGAGGACTAAGAAAACGAAAAATAAATATGATGTTTTGTTCTTTTTATTTGTCGACTCTAAATGACTACTTATTATGCCGCCGGAAGCATGCCCTTGTAAAAATATTTGGGAGAAATAAAAATTTGGGAGAAATATAGTATGAAACTATGGTTTAATTGCCGACTTTCGAAAAGTTGTCGGTCCAAATGTTAATGCTATGTCGTATAGAATTTGGATATGTTTTCCCTTTTCCTTTTTTTAATATATAAATATTTATATTAAATTAACAAAATATTTGAGAAACCATATTTCTTGTTGGAAATCATTTGGTTGATAATGTTTTACACAATAACAGTGGTTTATTTGATATTGATACGAATATTCTATCAAGTTTCAAAACGAAAATAAAAATGGTACCTCACGTCCAACCGAACAACTCAGGGGTTTATTATTTCAGTCTAGGTGTTTAATGATGACACAAAAACAACATGGTGTACTCATGTTGCCACGGTCATTAAAATCTAAAATTCAGACTCTAAATTCGCCTACTTCTCACAGTAATCAAGATGTTGGTGGCGATTAATCGATGATGCGTGCCATGTAATTACGCGTAGCACGTTCATTCTGTCATGACGTTTGATTATTTTTTTGTCAATCTTCAGGAATAACGTCATTTTAGTTTTGTGTTTTCGTACGTTTTGTATTTGTTGTTCTATGTGTCAGCATTTTGGAGCGAGGGAAAGATATGTTTCCTTGTTTTGTTGTTGCGAATTACCGTTAATTCAAGATTGAGTGCGATTGAACAAAAATGTTAATTTTTTTAATTAGCCAGGTTTAATCCTTTTATTGATTCTGTTTGATTGCCCGGTAATTTTTACTTAGTAACGTTTCTCTGTACGAATTTATAAACTCTCATATACTGGACTTGGGGTACCGAGCAATGCTTTGTTTTATTCGGCCGTATAAAACATTCTATCATAGTGAGGAAGGTAAATGTTTTTGCACGGTATGTCTGGTATTACGTAGATCGCCATTTAACATCGTATTGCGCACTCATTTCATTTTTTAATATTATTCATTAAGAATTGAAAACAATAAGAAATGTACACTTCAATATAGAAAAAAGAAAGAATTGATAAAGAAAAACAATCTACAACTGCTTCGCTGATTTTTGTACGGCAAATTTTAAAAGGTCCTTACGAAATTTGTCGGTAGAATGTACTATTATTTTAAAATTCGATTACATTGAAAAATTTTCGATTTTAGAATTTTCATATCTTATTCTCTTCTGAAATAATATTATTCGTATTACCCAATAAATACATAAAATCTATAAATAACACTTTTATCCGTTGTCGCTTTATACTACCCAAAAAACCTACACATCATATTAGAATCCAAAAAAAAAAAAAAAAAAAAAAAAAAAACACTACAAATGTACATTCGAAAATAGTAAGTCAAAATGGAAAAAATATGCAATATAAGACATTACTATTGTACATTTTAAAAGTCAAAATGAAAATGTTCAAATTTCACATTTTTAAGCGATTTTTTGGATTTTTTTCTTTTCTGCCAAGAGCCAATTCCAAATTTGTCTGAATAGTTAAAATCAGACCGGCGATTTTTATGTTATAATCGTACTAACTAACACAACTTTCTTTTACATATAGAGAGATAGATTTAAAAGTAGGCCCGTTCCTCAGCCCCTAAATAAATACTAAGGGTTGGATGGAGAGCCAACAGTATCTCGTGTAATAATTCTCAAACCGATATCTTCATTATTTTGGCAAATATAATGATTTTAGATAAATCGAAATAGTGGGCGTAAAAGTAGGCGTGGTCAATATGTTTTCTTTAAAAACCTAACTCGGTGTATGGCGAATGTTTGTACAAAAAATTATTCAAATCGGTATACCCGTTCTCAACTGATTTCATTACCAACGAACAACAATTGATTTTTATCTATATATATATAAAAGAAAGTTGTGTTAGTTACTACGCTTATAACCTAAGAACCGCTGAACTGATTTTAATGATTCATACAAATTCTGAATTGTCTCCTATCTGAAAAGGATAATATCCACAAAAAATCGCGTAAAAATGTGATATATAAACATTTTCATTCTGACTTTTGAAATATACAATAGTAATGTTTTATTTTGCACGATTTTTTCCCTTTTCACTTACTTTTTTTCTAATGTACATTTGTAGTGTTTTTTAAGTTTTATTTTTGAATTTGAACATTAATACTAATTTCTTTAATTGACCCGATTTCTTGAGAACTGAAATTGATGGCGGGTTACATGGAAGTGTAGTACCGAATTATTACTTAAATAGCGCGAAAGATTAATAAAATGCCTGGATTTTCACTCAAAATATCTTCAACTAGATTTCAATTGGCAGGCGAACGACGCACGGTGGTACATAACTTTATTTTCCTGGCCAAAATCCCTGTTTTTGTCGTTGCCGTTTTTTGTGTCTATATGGAATTCGACAACTTTTAGTAAGTCAAAACTTAAATCAATATATTTGAAAATGTAGGCGTACCATTCCTCCTACTTTTTTTTCTTATTTCGGAGGAGTATATAATTTCTGGAGCAAAAATATTATCGATGAGGTTCTTAGTTTTTGTGGTAGGTAAAGAGGATTTTTATATGTAATACATTGTTCTAATTGAAATTTGAACTGATTTGTTTGCTATCAAAACTACGTACACGAATTCAGGCCATGGTGTACTAGTGTCTTTCATTCGCACTTTGCTGTTGGAGATTACAACAGGGCAGAAGTGTAACATTTTGGAAAAAACAAT